GCCCCGGCCCGCGTGCTGCCCTCCGGGTGCTCGGCCGCCCCGGGCCACTACCTCTTCTGTGTGGTCACCACCACGGTGGTCTTGGCGGCGGCGGGGGCGGGGGGGCTCCGCGACTTCCTCCAGGAGAAGGGCTCCCGCGCGGCCAGCAGCGCCTCCTGCCCGCTGACCACGCTCACCTCCAGGAGGCGCCCCACGACGCAGTGGGAGAAGCAGAGCAGCAGCAGCTCCCTGCAGCGCCCCGGGTTCCTTCCAGGCAAGGCAGGCTCGGCTGTAGGCGTGGGGCGCCCCCACCGCACCCCGCGGCGGCAGCCGGCCAGCAGCCGGGCGCCCAGGCCGGCTGGCTAAGGTCCCCTGGTGGAGCCGGCCTGGAGCCCAGGGTGCAGCTGGCCCCCGGTGAGGTGCCGGAGGGGCCGCGGGGGCTGGAGGGCGCTGGGCCCACCTCCCCACCGGGCGGAGGGTGGGGACAGCGCACGGCACCCCCACGCGCTCTTCCCCAGCCCGGGTCGGCAGGACACGCCGCCAGCCCCACCGCGCCCACCCACGTACTTGGCGTGGCAGGTGACCACGAGCAGGACTTTCCCGCCAGGGGGGATGAGTCCACTGGGCTCCGCCGCCTGCTGCCCGGAGACCCCCTGGTCCGGCTCCCCATGCGGCCCCCCACCGGCACAGTCACCTGCTGGGGAGGTCAGTGGCGAGCGGTGGGCGCCGGCCCGGGAGCCGGCAGGGCCGTGGAGGCCGCCGGCAGGGCTCACAGGCAGGACGCTGCGAGGACCAGCTGGCCTCTGCGCCACCCCCCAGGGGCCATGCTCCTCCCTCCCCCGCCCTCCCCCGCCCCACCGGGCTGCCCCACCCTGCCCCCAACGGCAGCAGCCTGAGCGCTGGGCGGCTACCTGGCGGGAGCTCGCCGGCACTGTCCACACCGTCCCCCAACGCCGGCGCCGGCAGGCTCTTGCTTTCCTGGCGGCCGTCAGCCACAGGGACGCTCGTGTCTGAGGAGGGCTTCTCCCCCTCAGGGTCGGACACCGGGGACGCCCCCGGGCAGGTGGGGTCTCTGTCCAGCTTTCGAAATCTGAATTGCTTCGCTTTATCCCAGCCGGCCAGCTTGCAGCTGACCAGGCTCTGCGGGACGGCACCTCTGTTCCTGCAAGGACGGTGACGCCGCTCGGAGGCTGGGCGTCGCCCCGGCACATGGCGGGACCCGGCCGGCGCCCCAGGATGCGCGCAGTGGTCCTGGGGTCGGCGTGTCCGTCCGCCCGCGGAGCCCCCAGACTCACTCTATCCAGATGCCCAGGTCCCTGCTGCCGCCTTCCCGGAGCGTCCCGAAGCTGGTCGCCCTGGTGACGGCCATGTCGCCTTTGTCGCTCAGCAGGTGGGCGCTGCAGGCCTCCTTGGAAGGCCCCTCCCCCACGGGCGCCTCCCTGGGGACGCACAGCGGTGTCACGCCTGGGGGCGCCCCCCCGAGGCTCAAGCCCCCGCCCCCCCGCGGGCGCCCACCGTGGGCACTCGGGCGTCATGCACAGGGCCCGCCAGGAGTAGCAGGACTGGCTGCTCTCCACCACCACCGCGCTGACCACGTCCTGGCGTCGGGGCACGTAGCCCTCGGGCAGCTTCAGGGAGTCCAGCGTGAAGAAGATGCTGTCGTCGATCACCCCGTTGCGCCCACAGAGGCTGGAGATGCAGACCTGCGGGAGGAGCGCTGGGAAGGCAGAGCCCGCCGGGCAGGAGGCGGAGAGGGCCCAGCTCGCCCTGCTGGTCTCGGCCGGGC